TGAGGCTCACATAGGTTCAATTACCTGCCTTACATCACTGTAGCTCCTTAAGTATCAGAAACTAACAACTGGTATGTCTACCGTCACAGCCTGTGTTTTTACCCTCTTCTTTGCCTGCAATGGTTAGGGAGGCCTGGGATGATACCTAAAGTAAACTTTGCAAGGTGAGCAGGCCTCCTTCTAGCAGGTGGTCTTGTGTAATGGGAGTCATGGCATTTCATACTGGTGGAACTGTGTGGACTAAAAAAGGAAAAAAAATGGTATATTGGTGGTTTAAGGAGTCCGCAGGGGACCTGTGTGGCTTCCGCAGTGGTTTCCTGAGTGGTCTTCTCCTGTACTCTTGGGACACAAGATTTTGTGGTCTTTTGCTAGATGTGCCTTCCTCCTTAGCCAGGACAGACATCATAGCCAGTCAGGGGCCCATGTTCTCATGGCTACAACCTGACTCTTGTTCCTTGCTCCTGAAGTAACCTGACCTCAGGGATACTTGCTGGTAGGACTCAAACAGGAAAAGGTAGTGATAGCTTGTTGTGGATTCTTCCTATGAGAATGGGCATCTGTGAGGCCCAGAAGTAGTCTCCAAGGAAGCAGATGCAGGTCCAGGCCCTGCCACCTTTGAGGCAGGTGCCACCACCTCAGGTGACTCTTCTGTGAGGTAGGTGATTATGACTATGCTGCTCTGCCCATGTCCATGAAAATATTTTCAAGTGGCTAATGCCAGCACAGTGGCATGTGTCTGTAGTTCCAGCTTGAGAGGCTAAGGCAGGAGGATCATGAGTTCAAACCCAGCCTGGGCAAAATAGACCCTGTCTCAAAAAAAAAAAAAAAACAAAAAAAAACCTGAAAAATTTCAGAATGGCTCAAATGGAGATGTATTTCAGTGTTTCCATCCTCATTAACTGTGCATAACTTTGCTAATGAAGGAATGTCAGGTTGCATGATGAGAATATAGACCATAGGGCCCTGGGTTCAAATTCTGTCTCTTCTGATAAGCACATGTGACTTGTGGTAGACTAGTAGAGGTCCTGGACCGTCAAGTCCTTGAGTGTGACGTGGAGATGATGATGGTGATACTCAGGGCTTGGCCCTTTGCCTCAATGTTCCCTTTACAACTTTTCTTCAGCTCTTTTGACTATTCTTGGTGAAGTGAAAAACCCTGCTGTATTGGACCTGGACATCAAAGCTCAGATAAATAATGAGATTTCCAAGGTCACTAGACAGGCTTGTGTGATTTCAGGAATTTGGTTTTAAACCTCAGGAGTCTGTCCTGAGCTGGGGACTTTTAGTCACTTGACCATGCCATCCGGTAACCAGCCATGCCTAGCTAGGCAAGGCTCACAGCAGGATCATAAGACTCAGGTGCTGTTGTTGTTACCGCTACTGGTGTTACTTGTTGTATTATTCTTTCCCATTCCTCTGATGTCCCAGCAACACTGACTGTCTGTCCTCTCACTCCACTGTAGGATGTCCAATCCTTATTTCTGTGTCAATGTCTTCCTCGCATAGCTTCTCCTCTTCACCGCTGTAATTTCTTTCTTTTTTTTTTTTTTATTAGGAACGGAGATTACTACCAACAACAGGCTGAGTGCAATGGCACAATCTTGGAACTTCACATGAAAGCCTGCCTTACAGAAATCGCGCCGTTCTCAACCTCAGCCCCTGAGTACTGGGACTAACCGGTGCCCGCCACCTACGCCTGGCTACATTTTTTTTTTGTATGTTAGTAAGACCGGGTTTCACCATGAGCCAGGCATATGTCAATCTCCTGACCCAGTGATCGCCCTCCAGCCTCCCTAAAATGACTGGGATACAGGCTGGACCACTCGCGCCCTCGGCTGACACTGCGTAATTTATCCAAGCATGTCCACAGTTCCCTATGCCCTGCACAGATCATGCCCTACTGAGATGCCTTGGTGATTGGATAATCTTTAAGCGTCACCTGCTGCATACTTTTGCCAGAATGCTGGAGGTGACAAGTTCTTAATTGTATTCCACGCAGTTCCAAAGGGGAAACACTACTATCCTGTTTATTTCCAGGTGTCTGTGACGCTTTGCGAGGATGTGGCGTTGACATTCACCCCAGGAGTGGGGACAGTTGGATGCAGCCCAGAGAACGCTGTGATCAGGAAGTGAATGCTGGAGACCATGGGCTTTGTGTCTCTGGGTAGGCCCCTTCTGGTCCACGCTTCACTTAGGATTGAGTTCTCCTGCTCATGTTCCTCTCTCCTCCACACCGCCTCCTCCGTCTGTGAGGCTTCTGGCACCACAGGGTGATTTAGCATTTGCATCTGAGTGTAGCACTTGGGTAGACCAGGATCTTTGTCCAGGAGTCCACTCCCATCTCCACCTGCTATGATCCCTGTATTCCGGTCAAGTTAAGGAACTCTCTTGTGCACTCAATTTCTCATGATAAAAAGGGCCAAGCCAGGCACGGTGACTCATCCTGTAATCCCAGCACTTTGGGACGGCCACGGCGGACAAATCAAGGAGGTCAGCGATTTGAGACAAAGCCTGGCAACATGATCGAATACCCCATCTTACCTAAAAATCAAAAGAATTAGCCGGTGTGCGGTGGCGAGGTGCCTGTAATCCCAGCTACTCGGAGGCTGAGGCAGGAGAAATACCTTGAACCCGGGAGCCGGAGCTTGGCCAGGTGAAGCCAAGTCATCACTGCACTCGTAGCCCGGCGACAGTGTGCAGAGACGACTCACATCTGACAAAAAAAAAAGGGGGGGGAGGGGGGGCAGCCAATATAGTGTTTATTTCACAGGGCTAGTGTGAGGGCAAATGGTTCAGTACAGTGTGTTGTGGTAGGTGGGTGGATGCAGGTTAGCAATTGTGACCCCTGTTGCTGTCACTGTTGTTACTGCTCTCTAAATCATTGTCCTCATAATCAGCAGGATCACACTTGGACTCAGCATTTTTTGGAACAACTTTGTATAGTTCTGTGGTTAAATTGGCCAGATGCTTTTGATGACTCGACTCAGGTGTCCATTTTAGCTTGGCCATTCGCCATTTCCCAGATTTTGGCAATCACTTTCTCTGCCTGAGCCTCGATTTCTTCATGTATAACGTGGTCCTGATTGCAGTACATTCTTAATGTGCATCCTGTGAAGAAATCCTAAAATTGAATTTTTCATGCCAGGCCCATAGGAGTAGCAATGTAGTGCTTTGCTTAGAATATAAAAACAAGCCTTAGATCAGTGAAGAAGCACCTTTCTCCTGAATGGAGATTCAGTATCTCAAATATGTTATTTCTTTTCTAAACTAATGCCTAAATTTAATTCAGTGTTTATAAAATACAATGCATTTAAATTACTTGGCATATTCGCTAGGTTATAGTTACATTGTATATCAGTTATTGACTTACTATTAGGAGTAAAGTTCTATGGCAGGGTGGCATATTGATTAAGGACTTGGATTCGAGAGCCACAGCAGGAAAGTCTCTCCAAGAAGTGACATTTGAGCTGAGACCCAAAGAGTGAGTTAATTAGAAGGAACAAGAGACCTGAGGAGCAAGTAGTATTCCAGGTAGGCAGGCCAGCGTGTGCAAAGGCCCTGAGGTGGTGGTGAGCATGATCCTGACAAAGCTGAAGGAAGGTCTGATTCACCTTTTCCACTGCACTGTCATTGAACCCAGTGCCAGGCACATAGCAAAAATGAGTGAACATTTGCTTAGTGATGACTGATGAATCCCACCTTGTGTTTTTGTGGGTCCTACTGCCTTGCCATTAACTTCTCTATAGAGTACTTATGTATTTTACCCCCTTATATTTTGAAAAGTTTTGGGCTACAGTCTTAACCCTGAAGGAAATATATTATCTCACCGAATAAGCTTAGTCGTAAGGCTGGCTCCTGGGTCGGTGGGTGTCAAGCCAGTTGTCTTTCTTTGCTCCCACTTCCTTTTTTATTTTTTGGAGACAGGGTCTCACTCTGTTTCCCAGGCTGGAGTGCAGTGATGTGATCTCAGCTCATTGCAACCTCGGCCTTCGGGGCTCAAGTGATCCTCCCACCTCAGTCTCCTAAGTAGCTGGGACCACAGGTGCATGACACCATGTGTGGCTAATTTTTGCATTTTTAGTAGAGATGGGATTTCACCATGTTGCCCAGGCTGGTCTCAGACTCCCAAAGTGTTGAGATTACAAGCGTGAGCCCCTGTGCTCAGCCTCTTTGCTCTCTCCTCTTGGTAAGGTTTTTAGGCAGGTTCCCTCACAGAATTCCCAGGATGCTGCATGGCAGCAGGAGTGGCAGCCTCCCTCATTTAGCCCTCCCTGGGATGAAGGCTTTCTCTCTCCTTGGAGTGGCTGGTATAGGTCACCTGCCTACCTCAGAGTACAGATGATCAGGGTTGCCATTTGCAAGATGATGGAGACCAGGGCTTTTCTACCTACCATGGGGACTAATTATAAAATCCCTTCAGAAAATTTGTCTGAACAGGGTTGAGATTTTTGTAGGATGGAGATTAAAAGTAATTGGTACTGTCACACAGCCAGCACTACTGCTTACAGTCTTTGGGGCCTAATGAGGATGGTTTTTTGTTGTTGGTTTTTTTTTTTTTTTTTTTTTTGAGACGGAGTTTCGCTCTTGTTGCCCAGGCTGGAGTGCAGTGGTGTGATCTCAGCTCACTGCAACCTCCGCCTCCCTGGTTCACCCTCCCGAGTAGCTGGGATTACAGGCGCCCGCCACCACACCTGGCTAATTTTTTGTATTTTTAGTAGAGATGGGGTTTCACCATGTTGGGCAGGCTAATCTTGAACTCCTGACCTCAGGTGATCCACCTGCCTTGGCCTGCCAAAGTGCTGGGATTGCAAGCATGACCCACTGTGCCCAGCCAGATGGTGTTTTTGTAGTTGTTTTATGGTCACAGTTTAACATTTTCTTTGCTTAGCTGAGAATAGCTTCATTCCATGGTCTTCCCCATCCTGAAGTCCCAGAACAGATTGAGAGGTTTCTTTCTTCTAATCTAACTCCCTGTGTCCTCTTTCGTTCTCCATGCACAGGCTGTCCTTTGTTCGAACCAGAGCTGATCTACCAGTTGGATCGCAGAGAGGAGTTATGGATTGTTAAGAAAGACCTCTCCCAAAGCTCCTATCCAGGTAGGAGCCAGCAGCTGGAAAGATGGGGATCATGGCAGCTTGCACATGGAAAAGTGAACACTGCCTCTGAATTTTGCGGGCAGTCTTATTGTGGTCTCTCTGGGTGCTTGGGATCCATGGAGCCTCTTTTTTTTGTTTTTTTTTTCCTCAGACAGGGTCTCACTCTGTCACTCAGGCTGGAGTACAGTGGTGTGATCATAGCTCACGGAAGCCTCAACCTCCTGGGCTCAAGGGATTCTCCCACCTCAGCCTCCTGGGTAGCTGAGACTACCCAGGAGTTTTTAAAATTTTTTGTAGAGATGGTCTTGTTATGTTGCTGAGGCAGGTCTCAAACACCTGGGCTCAAGCTCTCCTTCTGCCTCAGCCTTCGAAAATGCTAAGCCACCACGCCTGGCCTCTTACATCTTAAATTTAAGTACTTCCAAGTTAGGTCCCAGATGTATATACTTCACTAACCCATGATAAAAAATTATGGCTAACATGTATTTATTTTTTACTCAGTGCCTTGCTCTCTGCCGAACGTAGTATATGTAGTGTTTCACTTCATCTTCACTATAGTCCTATAAGGCAGACCCTATTTTTGGCCCAATTTTTTTTTTTCCCCTGAGACGGAGTCTCTCACTGTTGCCCTGGCAGGAGTACGATGGCGCGATCTCGGCTCGCTACAACCTCTGTCTCCCGAGTTCAAGTGATTCTCCTACCTCAGCCTCCCGAGTAGCTGGGATTACAGGCGTGTGCCACCACACCTGGCTAATTTTGTATTTTCAGTAGAGATGGGGTTTCTCCATTTTGGTCAGGCTGTTCTCAAACTCCTGACCTTAGGTGATCCACCCGCCTCAGCCTCCCCAAGTGCTGGGATTACAGGCATGAGCCATCGTGCCCAGCATTATTTTCTCATCCAAGATCTTCTCTAGGCTGGGCATGGTGACTTATGCCTGTAATCCCAGCACTTTGGGAGGCTGAGGGTACTGTTTCATCTTCTTGTTCTCACTGAAATGCTGATCTTGTTTCTTCTTCTTCTTCTTCTTCTTCTTCTTCTTCTTCTTCTTCATTTTGAGATGGAGTCTTGCTCTGTTGCTCAAGTTGAAGTGTAGTGGCACAATCTCAGCTCACTGCAACCTCTGCCTTCTGGGTTCAAGTGATTTTCCTGCCTTAGCCTCCTGAGTAGCTGGGATTACAGGCGTGCGCCACCATGCCCAGCTAATTTTTGTATTTTTAGTACAGACAGGTTTCACCATGTTGGCCAGGCTGGTCTCGAACTCCTGACCTCAGGTGATCTGCCTGCCTTGGCCTCCCAAAGTGCTGGGATTACAGGCGTGAGCCACTGTCCCTGGTCTTTGTTTCTTCTATAATGCCATCTCTAATAAGCCTTTTTGTGTATTGTATTCCTTCCAGATGACAACACAAAACCCAAGACCACAGAGCCTAGCTTTTTTCACCTGGCCTTGCCTGAGGAAGTCTTACTCCAGGAACGACTGACACAGGGAGTCTCAAAGGACTCCCAGTTAGGGCAAGCCAAGGATCAAGATGGGCCATCTGAAATGCAAGAAGTCCACTCGAAAGTAGGGATAGACTCCCAGGGGGAGAAGCTCCTGGAGAAAATGAGTTCTGAACGTGATGGTTTGGGGTCAGATGATGGTGTATGTACAAGGATTACACAGAAACAAGTTTCAACAGAAGATGATCTCTATAAATGTGATTCACATGGACCAGTTACAGATTCTTTGATTCGTGAAGAGAAAAATTCCTATAAATGTGAGGAATGCGGGAAAGTGTTTAAAAAGAATTCCCTCCTTGTTCAGCATGAACGGATTCACTCTCGAGTGAAGCCCTATGAATGCACAGAGTGTGGGAAAACCTTTAGCAAGAGCACTCATCTTCTTCAGCACCACATCATCCACACCGGGGAGAAGCCCTATAAGTGCATGGAGTGTGGAAAGGCTTTTAACCGCAGGTCACACCTCACACGGCACCAGCGGATTCACACCGGAGAGAAGCCTTACAAGTGCAGTGAATGCGGAAAGGCCTTCACCCACCGCTCCACTTTCGTCTTACATAACAGGAGCCACACTGGAGAAAAACCCTTTGTGTGCAAAGAGTGTGGCAAAGCCTTTCGAGATAGGCCAGGTTTCATTCGACACTACATCATCCACACGGGAGAGAAGCCCTATGAGTGCATTGAGTGTGGGAAGGCCTTCAACCGCCGGTCATACCTCACGTGGCACCAGCAGATTCACACTGGAGTGAAACCCTTCGAATGCAACGAGTGTGGAAAAGCCTTTTGTGAGAGTGCAGACCTCATTCAGCACCACATCATCCACACCGGGGAGAAGCCCTATAAGTGCATGGAGTGTGGGAAGGCCTTCAACCGCAGGTCACACCTCAAGCAGCACCAGCGGATTCACACTGGGGAGAAGCCTTATGAATGCAGTGAATGCGGAAAGGCCTTCACCCACTACTCCACTTTTGTCTTGCATAAAAGGACTCACACTGGAGAAAAACCCTATGAATGCAAAGAATGTGGAAAAGCCTTTAGTGATAGGGCAGACCTCATTCGACACTTCAGCATCCACACTGGAGAGAAACCCTATGAGTGCGTGGAGTGCGGGAAGGCCTTCAACCGCAGCTCACACCTTACGAGGCACCAACAGATTCACACTGGAGAGAAACCCTATGAATGCATCCAGTGTGGGAAGGCCTTTTGCCGGAGTGCAAACCTTATTCGACACGCCATCATTCACACTGGAGAGAAGCCGTATGAATGCCGTGAGTGTGGAAAGTCTTTTAATCGCAGCTCCTCCCTCACACATCATCAACGGATTCATACTGGGAGAAACCCTACCATGGTGACAGATGTGGGAAGACCTTTTATGACTGCACAGACTTCAGTCAACATCCACAGACTTTTATTAGGGAAAGAGTTTTTGAATATCACCACTGAAGAGAATCTGTGGTGAAAGGAACATCTTACCATCTGGCCATTCATACTGAAGAGAAACTTCATAAGCATCCTGTCTTTGAGAAAACTTGTCATAGATTATCATTTGTCATCTGAACAATTATGTTAGAAATTGAAGCCGCCTGGAGTCTTATTCTCCATCTGAGAATTCACCCATGAGAGAGACCCAGTGGTTACTATGCACTTAGGAAAACCTTCAGCCACATCTTTCTTCTTAGTTTACAGTGACATATTATCTCAGGGATATTTAAACAAAGGAGAAGGAGATATAGGGAAGAGGAATAAAACACAGCTTCTTTTAGACTTGTCTGACAAGCCTATGGCAATTTGTCATCCCTTTTTTATTTTATTTGGGAGAGGGAAATGTTTCAGAAACAAGAAATCTCATCCCCTTTATTTTTCCTCTGTGTACATTCACTGCTGCCCAGTGTCTGAACAGTTAAGACGAACGAGGGTTTGAAAACATTTGGTGAAAGCTTGCTTAGTCCTGCAACATTCTCCACTCTTGAGGTGTAGGAGCATACATCTTTATAAAAAATACGGAGGCTTGAGTTATGAGACACTTTTATAAGGAGATAAGGATGTACATATGTTTGGACACATTGTCCACTTCAGATGCTTGTTTAAAAAAACTGTTTCACCGGATGTCTTTACCCAATACACATACTTTTTCTTGATGTGGGTTTACTTTTTTTTTTTTTTTTTTAGTTTTCCTGGGATAGGGATGATAGTGTAATTGTTCATGCACAGAGTAATCCTGGGCGGGCATCTTAGTTTTTTTCCTATGATTGTGGTTTCTCAGCTTCTTTACCTCTCCTTTGAGAGAGTTAGATCCACCTCACTTTTAAAAATATGATCCATAAAACTACATAAACTGCACAATTACAAAACGTTAATTGAATCCATCAAGGACCGTACACATCAATACCAACAAGCGGGACGTACCATAACTTCATAAAAGCAACTAAGCAAGACTCAACAGATGCATCAAATTCCCAACCAAAAGAATGAATCTTTAGATTAATAAGAATTTATATCAACAAATCCCAGCAACATATTTCAGTACGGCAAAACATCACTACTCATGACAGCCAAAAGGAAAAAACCTGATAGCAAAGCCAGAATCAAATTTTATTTTTTTATTTTCATAATTTATTTATTTTTGAGAACAGAGTACCTCGCTCTGATCACCCAGGTAGGAGCGCAGTGGGACACACATCCAGCTCAATCAGCAACCACATCCGCCTCCCAGGAGTTCACCTAATCCATTACTCATGCCTCAGCCTCCCAACAGAACTGGGATATAACGGCACCTGCCACCTTCTGCCGAAGTGGTAATTTGTATTAATATTATATATCACACGACGATGAGAGATTTCACCATAGTATAGGCAGAGCAGGTTCTTGAACTTATGACACTCACGTGAATCTAGCCACACGCTCCGCCATACCACTAAGAAAACTGTTGGGGATAACACGGCATGAGTCACCGGCATTCCACAAAAAACCGGACCTCCAATCACATATCATATTAAACAGAACAAAGCTGTACGCAGAAATCCCTATACACATTAACCTATTTAAAAGATGTACTAGCTAGACACGCTAAACATAAATCCAAAACAAGAGTGAGACTAGGACATAGAGTTTCAACCCAAAAAGACGCTCACAGAACCATATGGCAATAACATAACAGATGAATCAGAAATAAGAACCAATAATGAAATATTATCTTAATAACTTTTGCTACCGAGAAAAGCATATCAATAGACGAACAGATAGTACACTTATTACAACAAATGCGAGCTTTCCAAAAATCATGGGCGGACAGGATAGCGCGAATGGCTCAACCACTGTAACCCAGACACTTTGGAAGCGATGACGGAGCGGATCACAGAGGTCAGGTCGCAAAGACACCTGGCCTAAACCAGATGAAAACTACCGTACAACTCACAAAAAAAATTACAAAACAAACAATAGCCGAAGCGAGAGCGGAGCGCCTTAGGTAGATCCCACCATCCGGAGAGCTGGCGGCAAGGATGGAGTGACCGGAGGACGAGGAGGCTTGCCACGTGAGACGAGATCTGGCCACTGCACATCCAGCCTGAGGCGCAGAGCGAGACTAAAGAAAATCACGTAACTCAACACAAAAACAAACATAAATAAAAAAAAATAAATAAATACATAAAAAACATAAAAAATTCATGCAACAAACAAAAGAACACATCAACACACCAGTTCATAACCTGTACAATAACAAACATAACATGGATCAAATTCATATGTAAGATAGAATGAATGATATTTGTAAGAAAGAAAATAACGAATAGAAACAGAATAAATTAAGGATCCACTAAAACCTGGATGAGAGCAAGTATCTTACGAACAATAGACATCAAAAATAGGACAAGGAGGGCCGGGCGCAGTGGCCCACTGAGACTATAATACCAACACAAAAAATATGGGAGGGCAGGCAAGAGCAGATCACAAGGTCAAGAGATGGAGAACCATCCTGGCCAACATGGTGAAATCCCATCTCTACTAAAAATACAAAAATTAGCTGGTGGTGGGGCAACCAGCAACCGTAGTACCCAGCACATTGGGACAAGCTGAGGGCACAGAGAATCACACATGAACCCCGAAGGCAAAAGGCCAAGCAGCGAAGACAAGATCACGCGCACTGCACCCGGCCTGGGACCAAACGACAGAGCGAACACCCATCTCAATAACAACAAAAAAAGGACCAGACCACTGGGCCGTGTGAGGGCTTCACGCTCTGATATCCCAGCACCTTTGGAGGACCAAGCAGTGCGACAGACGGAATCACAAGCGATCATGAAGAGATTCGAACAAAAAACGTAGAAACCCCATCTCTACACAAATAATCAAACACAAAAATACTATATCGAAGCAAGCAACAGCTGCGGTAGCCTGATAGTAACCCAGTATCAACTTAGAGCTGAGGCAGAGAAGAATGGTGGAGAACCCGGGAAGGCGGAGCACTGGCAAGAGAGACGTCAGAACTCCGGACACCCTGCACTCCAGCACAGAGAGCCGACAGCGCGAACAGACCTAACATGTACTGTCAAAATACGAAAAAACAAAAAAAAAAGGATCCAGAGACTTCACTTCAACATAATGAACATGAATTAATACAGCATCACAACAACGACTTTGTACAAATGAACAACTATACTGAGGAATCATTATAAACGAGCTACATGAGGGACTAGGGCGCAAGATGGCTCACAAGCCTGTAATCCACAGCACATGTTTTGGGACGGCACAGAGAAACAAGCGCGCATACAGTCAGTGGAGTTAATGAAATACAGACCTGACAAAATGAACACCATACATCAATACACAATCTAACTAAAAAACACATAAAACATAAGCCCGGGTAAGCCTGGTGGACACAATGTCTGTAAATACCCAGCTACTCGGGACCCAGCTGCACGCAGGAACTGCTTAGAACCAATCAAGGAGGCCAGAGGTTGCAGTAAGAGACCAAGATTGTAGCCATTCTGCACTCCAGCCTGAGACCAGAGCACACTCTGTCAATAAAAAAAAAGAAGAGACTACTTGAAGATAGGAAGCACAACACAAACCAACCCATATGAAGTAAAACCCCTAACAAAAAAAACACCAAAGAATACAATGAAACACGCATCAATAGCAGAGAGCTAGTCCAACCCATTTTTTTAGATTTTAATTTGAAGATTGGAGTCCTGAGCCATGAACCCACTACTGGCTGGGAAGTGAGTGCACGTCGTTCGGCTCACCTGCAAGCTCCGACCCTACAGAGTTCAGCCGAATCACACTGCCAATCAGGCTCCATGTACGCTGGACCCACACCAAACGCGCCCGCTACTATCTTGTACATCTACTTATAGTACAAAGAAACAGGTTTCTACACGAGTAGAAGCCAGGAATGACATCTCGACATCAATATCCTCGACCATTCGTCGACACGCCTGCCATCCGGCCTCCACAACAGAATGCTGAAATGACAGGCGTAGAGCACCACAGCCAGGCTCCTATTCTCCTTTCTATATGCCCTATATGACAAACTATCTGCATCCTCCACACACAAGTAAACGATAAATCAAATACTAAGCTTGAGGAGTTTCAAGTGGCAATAACATATTATTATTATAACTATAGTCATCATAATAATATATTATTAATATAGAGGTAAATAACTATCAACAAATATGTGAGCCTGCAACCTCATACGTCTTCAAAATGTAACCAAAAAAGGAAAGTCCAAAATGAACTCTAATGGATCATTTTCAAGATTCACAAGCCTACAGTCCAATGTTGAACAACTGTGAAAGTCACACTTACCTGGCATTATATGCATGCAGGCCTTACGTTTAAAATTCCAGTTAAAAAAGAGAATTTTCACACACTGTTTTAAAAAGATTAAAAATGACATTCCTTCTATGTGTTTGTTTTTCTGAGTTTATCACGATCTTTTAAATGAATCAGCTACATACTGTATTTTTGGGGGCCTTAATTCTGACCTTTAGAAAAGG